ATCCTTTGTCAGTGTCAGCCATGTGGATGAGTCACGGCCATTGCTTGGCCAATGTGCTCTCTGTGAAAGCCTGAGAAAATGTTTTCTCTCTAGGTGACTCTCCTTAGGCAGACTCTATATCATTGCTCACTTTCCTCTGTGGCCCATAATCTCCTTGATCAGAAAATTTGGGACATCACTGAATTACAGTACAGGTTCTCTTATGTCCTGTGTCCTCACTGACCTTGAAAGTCTAGAGCCAAAATGTTGGCTATCCTTGCAGCCCTCCTTTTTCTCTAATTTTTGGTCTGCAACCTTAAGTTGTTAACCCTCCAGAAGAGAGGCTTAATGATATTATTACCTAATAACATAGACAGTTGAGCTTAACCTCACTATCTATCTGAATATCAAACATCTTAGACATAATATGGAACAGGTATTTTCCATCAAATATTGATACATTAAACTTTAAATCCCTACAGAATGTGAAAAAAATATTTAAAAAAGGAATAAACACTACATACTTTTACACAGAAATGTAGAAATCTAACCTTATATAGCATTGTAGCAAGACAGTCTTATAACATTTTTTGTCCCTGGTTTTCATTTATTACCCTTTTAAAAAACAAACATTTACTTGAGAGACAGTATAGCAGTAACTGATAAGACGTGAGAAGCAGTACGTATTTATTTGTTTTTTGTGGTAACAGGATTTGAACTCAGGACCCTTCACTTGCCAGGGAAGCACTTATTCTGCTGAGCTATCTCCCCAGCCCAAGCAGCACGTATTTAGAAGACCAGAATGACAGGCATTCCAAGCATGGCTCTAGTATTACACATTGCTATCTTCAGTGCAGTTGCTTAGCTCACAGTATGAGCATATATAGTTAGTCAGGGTGAGAGTCCTACCAATTAACTACTAGTTTCAAAAACCTGCTGCAGATTCTTGGGATCATTGCCTTAACCATCTTGTGCATATAAATGTATGACTTTGCCCCTGTCATGTTTCCTAGCTTTTCTCCTTGTCCTCTCTCCATTGTTTAATCCTTAAGTTCTCGCTTTCCTTTCAATTGTGTGATACCTTTCTATTTTTATTTCTAGCTAAAGAGTTTTTCTTTCTGCCCTCCATCTTCTTATAATACAAATTTGCTGGGTAAAACATGTTCCATTTCTCTAATACTTAGTTTAGGCCAGAAGAATGGGTTTAACCTTCAGAGAAAGGTTATTGAATTGGAACAGTAGGTTCATGCATGACCTCACCCCACAAAATAGTGGTGCTGTCGAGGTAGAAAAGGAGCGTATGAGACATGCCATGGGTTTTGAGGAATGAAGTCAGTGTGGAAAGACTGGTAGTACAGGAAGGATATGAAATGTTCTATGACAATATAGACTTCTTTAAGGTGTGTCATCTTAAAAGATGACATTTGTCCCTTTTTTTTGATAATTCATTGGCTCTGCCTTAAAAGTTTGGTTATATAGAAAATATCCATTTTTTACATTATTTATTCAGAGGCAATACTGATTTTACTGTTTCTTTAGTGCATTTTTCCTTAGTTTCTGTTGATCTGGATATGGTTTTTATTCTGTTTGGTGGTCTTATGTTGGGATAATCATGAAGCCCCATTTACAAGTCTACTGTGCCTTTCTTTTGTAGTGCGACTGTGCACTGACCGAATCAGCCTCATAAAAGAATGTATTTTGCAATCCCCCACGTGCTACAAGCAGTCTGCCAAGCTCCTTGGCCTTGCTGAGCTGTTGAGGGTTGCAGGTAAGGCTTTTGAACACTGCGCTGCAGGATTGCTGTCTCATTTTTCATGTCATCCTCACCAAGCATCAAGGCTCACAAAAGCATCCTTTGGGCCAGGGTTCATGCTCCCTGGATAGACTAACGTGTTGTCATGGGGTGCAGTGGGCTGAGCTGCTGGTGTGGAGGTGACATGGAGGACCCCAGGGATGGTACCGGGTGGGCTCAGAAGAGCCCACCTAGTGACTGTTCAAGGAGGTGGTCTTGGTTAGCACTCTGGCCCACACTTACATCTCAGTTTCTGAGTACCAGTTGGTTCTTTAAGATGAGAACTGTTGCATTGTGTATAACCATCCACCATTCAGTGAGCCCTATGATAACTTTTTAAAGCATGAGTTTATTCTCTTTCCCTTACCTTAGTAACATCATGACCTCTCTGTTGGCTGTAGACTGCTCTGGTTGGACTTTTGCACTTATGTAGTTTAATTAGGACCTGCTGTTCATCATTGATCTCTTTGGAGCTGAGGTTCCTCCCAAGGACAGTAGATAGACTGAAAAGTCAGAGTTGCTGTTGCCCTGTTGCCCACTAAACCTTTAAAACCAGTCTATTCCATGTGTTCTGTGTTTGTATTAATTTGCACATCACTGCTACTCAACTCTTGTATCATTGCTGATGCGAGGATCATTAAGCATTTGCCTGTACTTGCAGGTGAGGACCCAGAAGAACGGCATGGGCAGGTTCTGATCCTGTTGGTGGAGCAGGCCCTCCGTTTCCATGACTACAAAGCAGCCAACCTGCACTGTCAGGAGCTGATGGCCACAGGTGAGCAGCACCTGCATAGCCCCTTGCTGTGTCCTCATGTATGATAAGTCAGGGGAAGATGGGTTCTGAAAGCAGCTGACCTGGTGGGAGCACAGTTCTGCTTGCAGCTATTTTATCAGCAGTGACAAGTGTACATGTGGAGTTCTTATGTATTAATGTTGTAACAGGCCCACCCATTCTGTTTATCTGAGATTTTGGTTGCTTTTTATTCTGTATCACAAGGATGCTCATAATTGTAATAAAGATTTCATGTAAATACATATTTTATACTGTTTTTATGTGTTTGCTATATATATATCAAAATTTTTCCAGTATCTGCAGCACATGGCTCCACAGTCAGTATGCCTCTTCTTTAATTTGAGCAAAAACCTATTGCTTTTCAAGGTAATGTTGAAAAATTAGGGAGTTGTTTTCATCCTTCAAATTTTCCATATTGGAATTCAAATTCCTGTCCCCAAAGGGCAAGGAGATTAAGGTGGAGACTTGGTTTATCTGGAGGACTCGAGTCTGTGTGGGACGGGAAGTAGGTGTTCCTAGAGGCTCTGCATAAGTGACCTGCTCTTGTCTTTGCCCCTGAGTCCTTTGGACCTGAGTCAGTACTTGAAACACAGTCCTTGGTGTCATGAAGCCATGGGGCTCTGAGGAAGTGAGCTGCGTACTTCCATCATCGTTTTTTGGTGCTGATGATTAAACTGAGGACCTTGTATGTAGTGGGCACATGCTGTCCTGCTGTGTTGTGTGCCCTAGCCTGACCTGTACCTGTCTCTGTGTTGGCTGTTAGTAAAAAACCCTGCTGACACTTGAAGTGACAATGAGGCAGGCTCCTTTGAGGACTGTTGTGCTGTCTGTTGAGAGTTGCTGGAGTGTCCTGTGATTGAGGTAGCCGCCCTTGTGCTGAGCAAGAGCTCAGTGGATTACTTGTGCTCATTTTCAGCTCATCTAAACGTGGAGAATTGGTCAGTAGCACATCTGGAGCAGCCCTAAATGAAATAAAAGATGAGAACTTGGCCTCATCTTTCTGCATTTAGATTCTTAGGCATTTCTGCCCAATGTTTTACTAGTTACTATGGTCTTGCTTTGTACCACAAGACCAGAACAGGAGTCTATTGTGTGCATCATCTTATACTGGATGATATTTTGGTATTACAAATCGTTTGTTTGCTGCTGTTGTTGCTTTTGCAGGTTACTCTCAAAGCTGGGATGTCTGTAGCCAGCTGGGACAGTCGGAAGGTTACCAGGACTTGGCCACTAGACAGGAGCTCCTGGCTTTTGCGCTGACCCATTGTCCATCAGACAACATAGAGCTCCTCCTGGCAGCCAGAAGCTCTCTGGAGGCCCAAGTGAGTGGCTCATGGGAAGCACGGGACACTAGCCTGGGGACCCAGAGGTGTAGCCTTTCTGGTTTTTTTTGTAATATGAGAATTCTGATATACAGAACAAAAATAGCTTGTCATGCAAAAAAGGATCTGAGAATATAAAACAGAACTGGCACAGACAGGCTTGAGAAAAATTGGAAGTAAATTAGGAAATAAATTTTTGAGTCTAAGGGGAAATTTAGAGTTGTCAAGAACACATTTATGGGAGAAATGGTCACTGTAAAGACGTGCTGGCACCTTTTTTGGTGGTCTGGGCTTTGGCTGGAGATGTTGAATTTCCTAAAATTTACAGCCTAGATCTGCCCTGGAGAGGACAGGGCTCGCCGAGTAACACCTAACATTCGGTGTAGCCTGAGAAGTTCATGTTTTAGTCTCACAGGCAGTCATTGCATCATCTGTTAGGTTCTTCACTCTGCACTCCCACTCCTGAAATTCTTGCTTCCTTGTGAAGCTGCTTGTAAAGTCCTGAAGGAAGCCTGGTATCAAACACTGTGCTCTATGAAAAGTCATTTTTTCCTTTAAGAGGAGAAAGTACTTTTTAACTTGAAGCCTACACTGTAATGAGAGGCAGATTTTAGAATGCAGCTCCTTTGTGACCCATTGGTAAAAAGTTGGTTTCTGTGTGGGGTGATGGGTCCTGAGAACGAGGTGGGGAGGCAAATGTAAAGAAAAACAAGCAAGACAAAGTTATGGAATCAGGTGACTAGAGCCTCTAGGACTACAGCTCTAATTATGATTTTCTTTAGCCTTTTATTAGGATTTCACAAAAAGCAGCAAGAAGGTAAATGAGAGGAATCATTAACAGGAAGATTGAGTGTAGTGCAGTTTAATTTTCCCAGGAACTGAACTTTGACCTAGCTAGCTATCATGTCATGACTCCTTCAGACATGTATCAGCAAAGCATCCGGTGCTGTCCCAGCAGCTTTCCACAAGGACTAAGGTCCTGCTTTCATTTCCTTTCACACTAATGCTTTTGATAGACTTCCTCCAGAATAAACAATCCTATGGCTTGGTCAGGCTCCAAGTCCCATATAGGTAAAATATGGAAAGGTAAATTATAGAATATCTTTCTTCACAGTAACCTAACCTGTTCCCATTTCAGATCCTTTTTTTTTTTTTTCATTTCAGATTCTTTACCAAAGAGTGAATTCCCAAATTCAGGCAGAAGGAGAGGGCATCGGTGTTTCACCATTGGTTGGCCGGGCCCCACGTGAGGTGAACTGAAGGGGATGTAGAAGGCTTTGGGGATGACTGTGCGTGGGTGGGATGAGATGGGTCACCTGATCTTGGGCATGTGTGATGTGTGCAGCATAACATATAGAAAGGTCCACAGAACAAGAATGTCCAGCTCAGCAAATTATCACCCCAAAAATCTATGAAGTCACTAAACAGGTAAAACAGTAGCCTGTGAGCAGCCTTTCCTGGATCCCTGACCTCTATCCATTGAATATCTCTCCCTCTGTCTCCTTACAGAGATTCCTGCTGGCTGGTCTAACCCTGAAAACCAATCCTTGTGGTTTTTATTAGTGTTCTACATGATTTAATACCTACCCCACTCTAACACTATAGTGCAATTTTACCTTTTTTTTTAAAAAAAAAACTGAGAATACTTAATATTATGCTTATGAAATTAATTCATACTGTTAATGTCTATTAATGTATATTATAGTTTATCCTTTCTAATGTTGATTAACACTGGTTTATTTTCTACTTTGCCTCTAAATAATAATCATTTTGTACATGTCTCTAGCAGGCACGGGGCACACACATATGCCTGGCACTGAAAGTCTGTATTGTTAGATATATATGTACCAAATCTGAGCAGATAATACAGAAGTATTTTTGTTTTAATTGATTACATTTTTACAGCAGTCTGTCTTAGCCATATTTCCTGTTGCTCACATGCAGTACCCAACAACCACAGTTTAAAAGAGGAAAGGTTTAATTTGGCTCACAGCTTTAAGAGATGTAGTCCATGGTCCTCTGGCTCCAAGGCAAGAGCATCATGGCAGTAGGGCATGGTGGAACAAAGATTTTTAGGTCATGGTGGCCCGAAGCAGGGGATAGCACCAAAGGACATGGCCAGGGACCAGACATGGACCTTCAAGACCACAGTCCATGACCCACCCAGACACATTCACACGTATCCTCCATCAATCCACTGGGCAATCCTGGAGCCAGTTAGTTGATATTACCTAGCCAAACTTTGACAATGGAATTATCATGTATGCCAATTTAATTATTTTATTTTATTTTTTCAATGTATTTGGTACAGGGTCTCACTACACAGCTTGAATTCATAGTAATCCTCCTGTTTTCAGCCTCCTCAGTGCTGGGATTACAGGTGTGCACCACCATGCCTGGTTTTTGTGGCCAGCTCAGTGCACCCAGAGGTGGGGTTGGCATGGCATGTGGTGCCTGAGATTGAACCCTGGAACCTGTGCTTGCCTGAGCAGGTGTTTAGTCTGTTTAGCTATCTTGCCGACCCTGCCAGTTTAGCTCTTCAGTACTGTTAGTTTTTAAATTTTTACCTATCCTCATATTTAGCAATATCTAGTTATTTTAATACTTTGGTGAGGTACCTGTTCACTTTTGTCACCCATTTTCTTTCTAAACTTTGTTCTTTGTCTTGTCTTTGTTGAGATTCTCATGGATCAAATTACTGGAATCAATTAATTGTGTGTATCATGTGGTAGTCTTTCTGGCAGAGAAAAGAGGAGGAACATGACCCTGTTAGCTGTCTTCCTTTTGTCAGTGGTTGGTCCATAGATTTAAGTTTTTCATGACCCTCATGACGTAGAATTGGGCTTTTTACTTCAAAGACAGAATCTCAGTTTCTGATATTGTAACAGGGTAAGTTAAGAGGTGACATTTCTTTTTACAGATTGTTTTCCCATAGTATTCCATCAAGTGGTGATCTTCTCCACAATGTAAAATATTATTTCTTTAGCATCTATTTGGAATGTGCATGAGGTAAGAAATCAGATGCATCCTGCTTTTTATAAATTGGCTGAATCCATCTTGACAAGCTCATTATTACTTGCACAACATGTGTAGTGCTTTTCCAATACGTTTTCAGTTGTGGAATTTATTGATGGAGTCAGGACAGAGCTGTGGGTCTGTGCCCACTGTGGAGTGTGTACAACTCTGAACCTATCTTTGTGTAGTACTGGGAGTCAGGGGCATTCTACCATTGAGCTATATACCCAACCCTTTTATTTTTAATTTTTTAATTTTTTTTTTTTTTTGAGGTGAAATCTCACTAAATTGCCTGTGTTGTCCCTAAACTTGGATCCTGTGGCCACAGCCTCCCAGAGTGCTTGGGTTACAGGTGTATACTGTTGTAACTAGTCCTATTTCTTTTGAATCAACAACGGATTTGGTGAAAATAATAGACACATGTGTGGTCTCCCTTTAGTGCTGAGTAACTTGAGGTTCTTGGTGGTGACGGTGGTGTGAATGTTCCGTCCTCTGAAATATATGCATGCCCTCCTACACTGTTGGACACAGGGTTGCTGACCAGTAGACCTTCCCTGGTGAGGGAAGTGTTCCACAGCTGTACAGTCCAGAGTGGCAGCACTGGTGACATGAAGCTTTCAGTATGGGCAGCATGGCTAGTGTGAAGAAGGGGAGATGGCTCAGTGGAGTAAGTGCTTCCCTGGCAAGCGCAAGGGCCTGAGTTCAATCCCCGGTTCCGCCAAAAAAAAAAAAAAAAAAATATCTATCTATCTATCTATCTATCTATCTATCTATATACATAATAACCAAATGGGGTTAGTACCTGCCATGTTGGACATCACAGCTATGGAAAATTCAGCATTCATCAGAGGATGGACAGTAGTATGTAGATTGGTTATTTTTAGTTGTCTTCCCCCAGATGGAAGCTGGAATGTTTCCAGGAGCCCACGGTGTGCTACACTTCATCGGTACATATGTTTTAATTGATAATAGTACTGATCAGCAGCTACTTGGTTTGCTCCAGGGCAAACCAAGTGAAAACACATTGCCTTCTGTGATGTTTGCTCTGTGGGGCCGGGCAGTTCTTACGGTAGCCAGGAACCACTACCTAGTGCTTGGTAGGCATGTAGGAGGAGTTGTCTCTAAGGGGCTAGCTGGAGACCTGCTCTCTTTTGGAAAAGCTGTCCTGTTACTACATGTTGAGGACTCATAACTGCATTCAGCTAGGGGAGCTGGGATATATACCTACAGCATCGTGGCCATGTTTGCTCCCTGTTCCCCTTCCTCTTCTCTTCCCATTTCCTTTCCTCCTAGATCTACTTCATGCTTAACTTTTATTTATATTTAAATAACCAAACAGGGTTAGTACCTGCCATGTTGTCTCCACAGTCTGCCTCCCTTTTACCCACTATGCCTCCTTATTCATTTGAAGATTTCCTTTCTGTGAGATCTTAACCCATGGCCTGGGTTCTTTGAGCCTTTGGTTCCCCATGTCTCGGTCCATTTTGCTCTAGGTGTCTCTGGCCCTGGCTCTTGGACTGCTTTTCAGATGTCTGCTGTGTTCCTGTTGTATTGAATGAGCTCACCCTAGCCCTGAGAACAGGCTCTTTTGCACCCTTGGTGTTATATCTTGCTGTGCCTCCACTGCCCTTTATGTCTTGTTCCGAGTCTCATTCTTTTGCTCAAAGCATTTTCTTCCTACTGTTTTCTTTGATTCCTCCCACTGTCTGTCTGTGTTGTCCAATCACAAACGTATCTTTCTGGTTCTGCATTTTGTGCTGTGGTTTGGTAACTGGAGGTGTGTTGTTAACCTCTTCTCACAAGGCCTGTCACAGAGTGAGTGCCTGGTGAATGTTTCATAAAGCTCAGTGATAGCATTACTGTGTAGTGATTAGTCTGTGGTAAAGAAACAGGAAGTAGGGTTTTAATTTTAAAATCCATAGAATGAAAAGGAACAATTTCTAGTTTATCTTGTGCATGTATCCATCGTGCTGTTGAGACCCAAGGTTACTGTGGAGTCACCACAGCTCTCTGCTGAGGTCAGAGCCATGAGCTTGTTCTGAATCCCAGCTTCCTTTATCAAACCCGTGAAAATTCTCTTGTGGTTTTTGGGTTTCTCATTTTTGGATTCTATAATGAACTAGAGAGTTGGTGGCTTCTCTGGAGAGACTCGTGCCATGCATGCCTGGCTCCATTAAAATCTCAGCATGTGCCAAGGCTGTATCAGCTGCCCTCTTAGTGTTCCATTTAGGAACGAAAGGGAATTCTTCCACAGTGATTTTTCCTGGAGCATTTTTGTCCTTAAAAGCTTTCCTATCTTTCTTTTCCTCCTCCAGCACATTGCAGCAGATCTAGAACCAGCAAGCATTAATCCAAGCCCTCGGTGAACTGTGGCTTTGATTCATAAAGCACATTTCAGGATGTTACAGTTAGTGTTATTAGATTAAAATGTAGTATTTAGTTCTAACATGCCATGTTTCACATATTAACAGTAGATATAATAACCACACTAAATTATAACTCACAAATGAGAGCTGACTTTATGTGTAATGTGCATACTACTCAAGACTTTCGTTACCTTAGTTGTGCAAATAATGATTTTTATTTATATACTCAAGCAACATAAAGATGTAATTGTTATGATGTAGCATTTGCATTAGTACAAGTGGATACTACAAATTTTAACATAATGCTTTTATCTTACTGAACAAGATGCTTGCTTATAAATAGAATAAAACCCAGACTTTGTGAATAACTACAAAATTACAGATTTCCAGTTGGTTATTATGCCTTTTAGATGGAACAGAATTCTACCACTTAGAGCATATTAACATTTTGTTTAGCTAGTATTAGTTATATTACTCAGCCAATGGTGTTTTCCCCAGATAAATCTAATTAGAGTTAGAAATGGATTATGTATAAGATTCCCATTAAAAAAGTCATTTTCACTGTGGGAAAACTTGTTATAAACCTTTAAGTAGCTAAAGATTTATACAATTGGACTAACTAATGTTTAAAAGTCAAATATGGTCCAAACATAGAGCTATTTTATATTGTTCAGAGAATTGTTTAGAAATATTGCACTTAAATAAAAGCAAGTGAAATGGCAGTTGTTTCAATACTGTGGCCAGCGCCCTGTGTCCCTCCCTGTTGATGAACAGGTGAATTGTGGCCACGTCTTTGCTTTTATGAATAATGTTACTGTAAACACTGATATTCAAATTTTTGTGTGAAAATATATTTTCAGTTCTTAGGCA